TTATTAATATTTGATTGAAGTGAGGATTTTTTTTTTGACAGTATACAATTTAGGAGAGAATGAATTTTTTTTCGAAATATTAGTAGGATTCGAAATCTTAACAAACCAACCAATCAAAGCATTTTATGTTTTACGGACGAACTATTTGTGTCTGAATTGAGGATTTAGTTATTAATTTTGAAATACATATAAACTAATATGTATATCCACAAAACTAAAAACGTATTATGATTAATTTTTTTGAAATTAATGTTTATTAATAAAACTTTTAAAAAAATTTTAAAAAAAACATTAATTAAAAATGTATTTTTTTAGCATGGGTTGTACTTTTTATTTATGAAATTTGAATATTAAAATTATCAAAATATTTTTAACAAAATTCACTTAATATTTATTTATTATTAATATTTTAATAATTTTAATATTTAAACTACATTTCTTTGATTAGTACATTGGTACGTATTTGATTAGTTAGCATTCAGTCCTTTCATTTATCGTCATAATCAAATATCAATTATGCATTTCTTCTACTTTTCAAGCAATAATTCAACATGTTCAAAAAAACAAAACAAAAATTAACAATTCCAATTCTAACCGTCCACACATACGTTGATGTTTTACGTGAAGAGACATATGATAATGGACGGGACTGATTTTTTTTAGAATTATCATGATTATCATTACTATTATTGTTTAACAAATCAATGCAGTGTTGACTAATTAATCTTGATTAATTTGTGGTCCTGGGTGATATAAATGGAAAGTAATCTTTAGATTCTTGGCCTTACCTCTCAGAACAGGAGCTGTGTCGTGACAAACTTGCTGATGAATCATATGACATATTGAGGTGGTAAGGAATGGGACCTAACTACCACTAAAAAAAGGTGGTAGAGTTCTTGTCTTCTTATTATAAAAAAGAAATGGGGAAATTATTGTCTATTAATTTTAATGGCTAGATTTATTAAAATATAAGTGTTTTTTTATAAATCAAGTTTATAATTTAAAATTTAAAATTAGTTGTTAAAAAAATTGATTTTATTAAATATATTAAGTCGATATAAAAAAAATAATTTTAAAATAATTTTTTTTATTAAAATACATAAAAAAAAATTTCTTAACAATCCAAAAAGGGGGAGTAAAAAAACTAGAAACTTTTTTTTTTGGTAAGAAATGTGGGAGAATTAAATAAATAAATAAAAATTGTTAATTATTATAATCTTGACTACTATAGGCCTCATAATTGCGGTCAATCCTGCAGAATTTGTTTAATCTGCATTAATTCTATGCCATGTTTGGATGATACTTTAACGTATTTTATGCAAAATGAAAGTGTTTTTTCTGTTAAAAAACAGTATGTTCAGGTTGATGAAAATGAAAGGGGGGGAAAACTTTTCTGGTACAATGATGGCTCGTAACTAAGCATGCTCTAAGTCTCTGTCTACTTATCAAGAGCTTCGAACTTGGAACCCCTACCTTGAAATTTCCAGCTCTTACTTTTGGGTTGTCCAAAGAAATGCTGAACCAAATTAGTGCACCTGCAGCTGTAGCTGTCAGGTGCATAGATTTTTTGACAAATATCAAAATTTAATTGGTTGTAATAACAGTTAATTATTTTTGTTCTCTCAAATTCTCCTATGTTATCCATTGTTGATTGGTCTAATGGCTATCCCGAGAGAGCAGTGTTTAAGATATCAAAATCCTAAGTTCAATCTCAAGCACTCACCCACTTACTCCCAAGTTTCCCCAGTTCAGAAAAGAAAAAACAATGTCTTCTTTTTTGTTTGTTGTTTAATTTGGATTCATCTATCTCAAAATTTCAAAGAGAGCTCTTTTGTTGAGATGGTTTACATGGTGAAGGGTGGGTGATGGAGTTGAAGGAGTTGTGAAAGAAATCTGGCATTAAGGAGAAACAGAAGGAAAGTAACTGACTTAAATGTGTGAAAGTTCATGGATTTGGTGAGATAATTTTTTTGATTTCAAGATAGTGCGTTTCTTTATTGAGTGCTTGTTTGCACGTGCGTTGCTTGTTAATGCTCTTACCACCTAAGGTGTCTCCCCCAACAATCTTTTTTTTTGTATTAATCTTTCTAATTCCATGAAAAAAGATATTCCGGGCAGATGCTTAGTCTTTGATTAATTACTTTTTACAACATAACTTTTGTAACGAATATAAACAATAGATATTTAACATGTTGCAGACATACACCATCATCATTATTTCATAATTGTTGAATTACCCCCCAAAAAAGAAAAAAAAAATCCTAAATGTTGTTGAAAGTTGAAAATACTTGATTCTTTTTTAGTAATTTCCTCACCAAGAAAGAATTTCTTAATAAATTTTGCAATGTGGGGGTGAATATTAGAGTCGAAGTTAATTACAGCTGACCAAGAAAAGAAAAAAGGAAAAAATACTACACCAAAAATCTTCTGCAATTATCTGGTATTTACATATGCCAGTCCAAGGAATCCAAAGCTAGAAATTCGAGCAAAAAGATTCTGAACCAAACCTGTTGATTTCTAACATGAACTGTCTGAATTTGATCTTTTCTGTCCCTAATTTGAGGGGGCAAAAAAACAAAACAGTTCTTGTTACACTTTTATTTAGCTGTACTCCCACATACATGGCGCTTGATACCCGTATTCAGCACGATCATCAACTGTGTAATAATCATCAGTACTTCCAAAGAGCTGCCAAGACAATGAATCCCAGAATTCATCAGTTTGATGATTGACATCGAGCATGAGATCGGGGAGGTCCATAAATGCATCATCTTTAGGTGAGTTCCGTAGTTCCTGATACGCTTCAGCAGTACTACTGACTGGAGACAGAGGAACAGTTTGGTCGGATTGACTCTGTTCCTCCCCTGTTTCTTGGCCTTTTGTGTAGCTCAAGGCAGCTGCCTTGGCTGCCGCCTGCTGGATGTCCTTGGGAGCAGCGCTGGCAGGACGGGGAAGCTCGTGAGCTAGCTCGGGGAAATTGAGGTAGGCAGAATTGCCCTTAATTGTCAGAGCCGCAACATCATGAGCTCGGGCAGCCATTTCAGCTGTGGGAAATGTCCCAAGCCAAATCCTAGATTTCTTCCTTGGTTCTCGAATTTCAGACACCCATTTGCCCCATTGACGCATCCTCACCCCTCTGTACATCGGATGCTTTCCATCTTCATTGTTGGTCTTTACTTTCTTTCTACTTTCACTGCCATTTTTGCTTTCTTGAATTTTCTTGGAGCTTCTCTTTTTCAAGGAGGTAGAGGAGGTGGTCGTGGTGGTGGTGGTAGTGGAGGAAGAGGATTGATTCTCAAGCTCCAAATTGAGTGGCACTACCATGGTGGAGGAATGGCAGGGGAAATGTGGGAGAACAAGGCTAAGGAGTATAAGGGAAGATTTACTTCTTATAATTGTTTCATACATTAAAAAAGAAGAATGGGGCCTATAATTAAGGATAAGCACAGCGGATGTGAAGTATGGTTTTCTCCAAATTTGGTGATTGAATAAAATAGTAATTAATTAGCCCATTTGAGTCCGTACGTGTAATACACATTTTGTTAACTTAATGGCGGCAGGACTAACCACTCATTAATTCGAATAAAAGGAGTTTGATTCTTGTTAAATAAGGTTTTAAATTCGAGTTTTATAAATAGAGAAACAAATGTTGAAAAAAAAATTTTTTTTTATAAGATATAATACAATTTGATTATAAATTAATTAAAATCTAATATAATTATCAAATTTCAAGAGGTTATTAAAAAAAAAATCTTAATGGCGGCAGGAAAAATTAATGTGTTTTTGGTTTTAAGAATCTTGTGTTAATTTATAGGAAATGAATTTTCACAAAGAAGGCAGCTGGCAATGGGTCCATCTTTTATCCTTGTCCCTTGCTTTTTTATATTTTGCCTGGCTGAACTCTTTTGATGTCATTTTTCTTCTACCTGCCTATTATTTTCCATTTTTAACTCTCTCTAGACTTAAATCAATTTCAGGTGTATAAACAATTAGTTGTATTAAAAGCCAAGAGTTGAATTTATTAATAATTACGTATTGTTTTGTAAATTAAATTTTTAAAAATTAATATTTACAAAATTAATTCCCTTAAATACATCATGTTTATAAAAAAAAAGTATTTTTAAAATTAATTAAAAAA